AAGTCGACGAGGTGGACAAGGTAGACAACGAAGACAAAGGCGGGTACCAAGGCGACGCAGGCCACGTAGGATACGGAGACCACGCAGACGACGTAGAATAAGACCACCCCGACGACGTAGAATAAGATTACTCCGACGACGTGGAAGAAAAGGCCGACGACGTAGACCACCTTTGCGGCGAAGGCGACGAGGAGGGAAGTAGACAACGAAGACCACCACGACCAAGGAAAACCACTCCAAGACCTACCACAGTGTCTACTCCAAGTGTAACCATGTCAGGTGGGAATGGACTTACTCCAGGAGGGAATGTTCAGACTCCCACAGGAACGATAGATGGCGATAGATGCAATGTGCTGACTGCAAATTCAATTATACTACTACAAACGGCAAAGTGTGGACTGTCAGTCCTCAACTGCTTTAGCCAACGAGCAAGCTCTCCGGGAGCTTGCAACTAGGTCTCTGGAATTTGAATTCCACCCCAAATTCCCCTGTGGCTCCCTGTCGACAGTGCTGTCAAATTGAACAACACGTGCCCAGGGTAACGACGTCATTACTAATGTCATGTCCGCCAATCAACATTTTGCATCGCCTTTTTCGATGCAGATATTCAAATTCCAGAACGCAGTTGCAAGCTCTCCTTCCTTTTCCCGCCTCGCCGCCAGAGCGCCCTTGAGAGCTTGCTCGCAGGCGAAAACAGCTCCCACTTGGGATTTTAAGGTAACGTAATTTTTTGTAATAGCTAAAATTCTTGCTTATAAAGATGAAAGTTCAGTAATAGTTATATTTTGACTATTTTTGTGGTGCAAAAATTAGGTTTGATGCCCGGTGTTCTCCTGACAACTTAACTGCTAATTTATAAGTAGCAGACATAAGTAGCAACATGGGCTTTGTTAGACGGAACACTCACAGTAACGCTGGTTCCAACACTCAGACTAACGTCATCTCTGGCCCTGTTACGACAGCGACTATACCGTACATCAGAGGCGCCTCTGAAACTATAGCACGTATATTACAACATTACAATA